AATGAAAGTGCAGACAGATGGTCCTGATGCAGTGATTCTTTTATCCTGGGGTATAAAGGAAGAGGCAAAAGAGACTGAGAAGAAGAAAGGGACAGAAAATCTCAACAGGTTGCATTATACATTTGATAGTAAGACTTGCCTGATTATAATGGTATCCATTGAAGTTGTTCCACCAAAGTAAATACAATTGTAAATAAGATGTGGCCTATAAATGTTTTAAATTTACATTTTATAAATTAGACTTTTGAAGCCTACCAGCTAATAATAATTTCTGGGTTTTTTTTGATCATGCAAGAATACCATCTTTTTGCTTTCACCTCTGTCCTCATTATCATATTTGGTGCAAATAAGTACCCTTTTAGCTCTGAGAGAAATCATTTAAAGCAGTAATTAAGGGCCTAATGGCTCAGTGAGGTCATTTAGAGATCTTTTCAGTTTCCTGATGCGTGAAAAGATGTCATAAACTTATAATGCACAGATGCAAAAACAGTATAGGTTGATTAGACAGACCTCAGATTTCCACAGTGAGGATAATTATGCAGTTATAGTCGAGTGTAACACCAGCTTTTATATGCGTGTAAGATGGTAAATCTCAGTGGTGGGATTAGTGCACAACATTTTGCCTAAGCTGGGGGTCTGGGAGGTTAAAGGCTTCACGAGCACATTGTGGGACCTGATGGATGTCACACCGACATGGAGGGTTTAGAGCAGGGCAGAGAGGAAGAAAGAGTGAAAATGTGTGTGACAAAGACAGGGTCAATCTTAGTGTTATATTCATTTATCTCACTTTCTGTCTCCTGTCACCTTACACATATGAAAACACACAGAAACACATACAAGCTCCTCCATGCCTTGTATGTCGGTTAAGAATTGGAAAAGCATGAATCAGAAATGCCTGACAGGTCTTGTTTTTAAATTCTATTTGCAGTTGGACATTTCACAGAGAATTATCTAATGCTGTTGACAGGCTTGAAAAACTGTGTCATAATTCAAGCATCAACTTGACGCAAGTGTCATCATTTTCTTTTTTTCATTACTCATATTTCATTATCAGTGTTTAAAGTGAATTTCTCGAACCACAAAGGAAAACAATGTGCTTTTAAAATGCAATCGTTTCCGACAGCAAATGTCGGTGGTTTGGCTGGGCCAAGAGGAATACATATTGTTGTTCTTTTTAAGACCACATTTTTGAGAGATGCATGTTACCTGTTTTTGTACTTTTGCTTGCTGGACTCTAAGTTACAGATGGGTACCGGATGCCCCTAATAATTTTAAATGCTAAACTATTCAAAACTAAATGAAACATGCTATCAGTATCAACTGACAGCTTTTTCCCAGATTCAAAAAGACGTTGTTTTGTATAGAAGGCTGAATAGATTGCAAGGAAGAACAGAGCTTTTGCACACACTTGACAGATGATTATAGCATTTCAAGGCTATGCACAGTAATTACTAGTTTCTCTATTTTAGAGAAAGGAAACCAGGCACCAGACAGTCTCTTATATAAGTAGTCATGTAAAAAAAAAAAAGAAGCTATATTTTAATGAAGCTATAGGAACTTCCTGTTTAGCGTCCAATGGCTAATTTTAATATACAGTCATCTGTGTGATGCTGATTATGCAGCTTGGCATCATGTATGTCCTGATGCTAGTTTTTCATGACAGCAATGCATACAGATGTTAATGCATGTGTAAGATGCTGCTTTGTGAATCTTATTCAGTAGTCAAATGTTTTGCAATGAGCGTTAAAGATGTAGTTTGAGTTTTCCCTCATCGCTTTTGCCCCTACTCCTCCTGACAACTTGAATTGTTTGATATTTCCTGGTTTGAATGTGTGAATCCATGCATTGTGGTAATGTTTTTAAATGGGTTTGGAAAGCCCCCAACAGATATTAGCATGGACCGTGGAGTCATGATGAGAAGCTTTTTGGACAGTTTTTAGATCATCTCCTCCAAATCATTGCCTCTAGGAATAACTGAGGGCCAGCACAATGGCAAATTTTCACTGTGGTGTCATTTAAAGTCATGCAAAGTTTTGCAACGCTAGTTCATTAGAAAACACAGTACTTATAGTACTCATATCTTTTGAAACGGCTGACGTCATGCTTTTGCTGCTGACTTTGAAAAGCAAGACTGATTTTAAATTGATTTTTGACGATTACAACTGAACTGTGTGCTGTTGTATGTACAGAGATTACAAACAAGCCATAAAGTGAATCATCATATTCATTTAAACGGCACCATATTATTTACATTTCCTGTTTGCTTGTGAGAAAAATTGACCACTGGAATTTAATTTTGAAAACCATATTCTATTCTATTTGCTTTTTGGAGCAGACGTAAATTCCATTGCATGGTTGGTCTTGTGTGAGTGAATGAGTGAGAGAGTGTGTGTGTGTTTCTGTGTGTGTGTGACATGGTCTTGGTTTGAACTTTTTCGGCTGCACGCACACCCTGGCTCTGTGCTACGGGGAAATGTGGGCGTTGTGTCTGCTAGGCCTCTTACACTTGGCTTGTCTACATGCATTACTCACTCACTTCACACACGCATACACACACATGCACATCTGCAAACCCCCACACAGATGTGCACAGTCATATTTGCACATAGAGACACACACACACACACACACACACACACACACACACACACACACACACACACACACACACACACACACAGTGAGAGAGCGTCCATTGAGGATTTCATCTTGCTAAATAGTTAATATTCAAATTGGCCAAGCCTGTCAGGCAGCCAGTGGCATGATAGCATAGCTTGAGTAGTACACATCTCTATCTCGCTCTCTCTCTCAGTCACTGACTCACATACAAACATCACTTCAGAGGACATTACTTTGGCTTATATTTATTTCTTGAACTTAAAACTTAATCTAAACCTTTTCGGTTTAATGTTTTACTTTATGGGAACTTGCTTTTTGTCCCAAAATGGGGGGTGGGGTGGGGGGTTCACCACAGCTGACAGTATAAACAGATTGTGTCCCCATAGTAAACAGAAGTACACACACACCAACACTCTGTACCTCTCTTAATTTATGGCTCTTCATGCTGCAGCACGGCTCCTGGGAACCTAATTTAATTCAAAGTTGGTCAGTCATGTTTACTGAGGTGACGTTAATGCAACGCTGCGGCTCAGTCTGTCGGCTCCCACTCTCACATAGCCTCCTGCAGTCTTGTATCCTGTAGATGGCCTCATTGTGCCTCTGTGTGTCTGCTGGCTACAAATTCATCCCAGGATATCGCGGTAGATTCGTTTATAGCTCATCTTGTCTTTTCGCGACTTTATGGTAGTGATGGCTTTTTATAGGTCTGTGTAGGTGAAGTGCAGGTGATAAAAAAAGACGAAGAAGAAGCTGAAAATGCCACAGTTAATGGTAGCCTAGTGTAAAATAGTAATTCAGGTACTTATAAAAACTGTAAGACAAGAGTCACCAAAATTCAAATGCGTAACTTCAAAGACAGAAATCCGCGTAATTTGGAGAGCAGAGAATACACGCACTCCCTCTCTCTTTTTTCAGAATGAGCCTTGCATGTATCGGACACTTATAAATTCACAATCATAAAGGTCGCCGTAAATTATTTGGTTAAACACTTTCAGAAGCAAACGGTGTGCAGTATAGGCTGAATTTGTGCAGCTTTACCCTTCTGATCCTGCTTGAATAGATGGAGCAGTTGTGGCAGGGACCGTGGTGCGCAGCAGCAGGCAGCAGCAGCAGCTGAGCGGAGAGAGAGGAGCGCGTAGAAACACGCTCTTGGAGAGACCAGAGTCATTCCTATCTCTCTCCGCTTGCCAGTCACACCGAAGACACATCGCAGTGTATCTGAATGTTGCATCACAAAGGATGGCCCCCAAAAAGAAAAGCATAAAGACTCATTTAAACACCCAAGGAAACGCCGCAAAAAGGGAGAGCGTGACTTTCTTGGCATAGAGGAGCGCGCAGAGAGGGTGAGCTCCTTCTCCTTCACTACCAAGATACAAGTTGGATGTATACCGAAGAAATGTGGATTCGGAACGGAACTTTTTTTTTTATTAGTTAAAAATTAACGGATGATTTCATTGGTTCGTTTTGGATTCAGTTGTTTTCAAAGCTAACCCAAGACGCTTAAAACTTGCCCGGAGCTATCCACATCCAAAGAGCGAAGCAAACGCTGTCTACAAAAATCGATAATAATAATAATAATGATAATAAAATAAATAAATGAAGTGAGCCTTTATTTCAAATCCAGGGATTTGGGCTGATGTCCGGATGAAAACTCTGCACTTTAAAGGATGAAAGGCTTTTGGTAAATTGCTACAAAATTCAGCCAAAAGGAAACTAAACGCGTTTGAATTGAAGCATCGTGTCAGAATATAAAGCGCTGCGAGAGTGATGCGTTTTTTTTCCTGGTTTTCTCGTTTAATCTGCATCTCTCTTCTTTGAAAACGCATCGTTAAGACTTTTGAATGCATTTTTATTTTATTTATTTCTTATTTTTCCTCAACACTCAGGTGTTATGTTTAGCTGGGGACAGTGCCATTTACTAGGAGAGAGGAGCGTTTAAAGAGAAATTAAAAAGAATAACTCAGAGGACATTACCTAGTAGTCGGTTGGATCAGCGTCGATACTGGGACAATCACAGGGACACGCCTCGCAGATCATTAAACAAATCAGATAAACGCGGTGCGAAAACCATCAATAGAAGTTATTGATGAGGTGGTATATAAGGCTAATGATTGGCTGAGCCTCTGTTTACTCAAAAGCTTAGCAACAGTATGTTGTGAAACTTTTCGCTGAGGGCTTGACAGCTGAGGCATACAATGCCAAGAGAAAAGGGACCAAGAACTTGTCTTTAAAACTCATTTTTATTGCTGCTTTACTCATTTTTTTAGGACTCAATTTGCGATTGAAAAAAAGAAAACAATTGCGAATTGCTGGAATATTCTTCTTCCTCTGCAAACTAGAATGTCTGCCTTCTGTGCTGCTGCTGCAGGAATTTATGAACCAGAGATTTTTAAGGGAAACATTCCTGAGGAGAGAATTTTGAAATATTTATAGCATCCCTTGTGCAAGAATGGTGGTTGTGACAAGGAACCTATTGATGACCCAGTCAGTGAGAGAGCTGGTGCCAAGACAATTTACCTCTCCACCAGCTACGCTCTCCGTCTGAGAGTCGTCCTTGGAGGAACACAGCTGCTGCACAGCTGGGGATGTGATGGGGTGACTGCTGACATCCCCCTCACCCATCCCCTCTCTCTTTATTAAAACTGTAACATAAACAATGGATCAGAATTTCTCAACGGTTCGAGATGGAAAGCAGCTTACGCCAGAGAGAGACTCCTCGAAACGTGTTCTGACAGGATGCTTTCTCTCCCTGCTCATCTTCACCACGCTGCTAGGCAACACCCTGGTGTGCGCTGCCGTCACCAAGTTCCGACACCTGAGGTCGAAGGTCACCAATTTCTTTGTCATCTCGCTGGCCATCTCTGACCTCCTGGTAGCTATTTTGGTAATGCCATGGAAGGCAGCGACAGAGATTGTGGGGTTTTGGCCGTTTGGTGCATTCTGCAACGTGTGGGTGGCATTTGACATAATGTGCTCCACTGCCTCCATCTTGAACTTGTGTGTGATTAGTGTCGATCGTTACTGGGCCATTTCAAGCCCATTCCGCTATGAACGCAAGATGACCCCTAAAGTAGCGTGTCTGATGATCAGTGTGGCATGGACCTTGTCTGTCCTCATCTCCTTCATTCCTGTTCAGCTTAACTGGCACAAAGCTCAGACCACCAGCTATGTCGAGCTAAATGGAACCTACCCTGATGATTTGCCCCCTGACAACTGTGACTTCAGTCTTAACAGGACCTATGCCATCTCCTCCTCCCTTATCAGCTTCTACATCCCCGTGGCAATTATGATCGTCACCTACACCCGGATCTACCGCATCGCCCAGACACAGATAAGGAGAATATCTGCTTTGGAGCGAGCAGCAGAGAGTGCCAAAAACCGACACAGCAGCATGGGAAACAGTTCAAACATGGACAGTGAGAGCTCATTTAAAATGTCATTCAAAAGAGAAACCAAAGTCTTAAAGACGCTCTCTGTCATTATGGGTGTGTTTGTGTGCTGCTGGTTGCCCTTCTTCATCCTAAACTGCATGGTTCCATTCTGTGAAACACACATGCCAGATGGATCCACAGAATTCCCCTGCATCAGCTCCACCACCTTTGATGTGTTTGTGTGGTTTGGCTGGGCAAACTCTTCGCTCAATCCAATCATCTATGCCTTCAATGCCGACTTCCGCAAGGCCTTCTCCATCCTCCTGGGTTGCCATCGGCTGTGCCCGGGGAGCAACGCCATTGAGATCGTCAGTATTAACAACAATATGGGTGCTCCTACCTCGAACCCCAACTGTCAGTATGAGCCCAAGAGCCACATCCCAAAGGAGGGCAACAGCTCAGCAAACTATGTGATTCCTCACAGCATCCTGTGTCAGGAGGAGGAATTACAGAAGAAAGACGGAAGTGGAGGGGAGGTCGAGGTGGGCGTGGCAAACAACACCCTTGAGAAACACTCACCGGCCATCTCTGGGAATTTAGACAGCGATGCTGAAGTCACCCTGGAAAAGATCAACCCCATAACACAGAACGGACAGCACAAAGCCGTGACATGTTGAGAAAAGGCAAAGGTGCATTGAAATTCAGTGAGGCATGCATGTATGCACAAAGGCAAGAAACGATTACACAGGAGGACAGCAAAAACAAACGGCAGAGACACATGTCTATAGGAACAAGAAACCAGTGAGTGTGTTATACAAGTCCTTAAGACTGTCAAAAAAACCTACATGAAAAACCTACAGAATGTTTTAAAGTACAGGCACTTTATCCTGGATATAACTATCTGCAAAATATATTCAGCATTTATTGATGACATTGACACATTTGATGATAAATGTTGATAATGTGAATATTAACAGCAGAATACTACCTATGGGCACATGTATACATTTTTTTTAGTTTTTGCAAAAATGTATACATCTGCATGTGTATACTGTACAGTGATGACACTATTCTGGAGGGATTCAAACACAGTATATACAGTGGGAGAAAATATAGTATTAGTAAAATATCTTGTAGGTAGGTGCTTTGTATGTGTTTCATGAAAAAGCAAACAAAGTGGGTAAATTGGTTTTGCTACAGTATTGTTAGTCAGCTATTGCAGTTTTTTTTTCCTTTAGCACATTTCTAATGACAGCGAAAGCAAAATCGCTAAATTCCAGTGGCAGTTTATTTGAAGTAAGAACAAAAAATACTGATACCAAAGTAACACTGTTCTGATTACAACTAAAACCAACAACAGAGTTTGATGCTGTAAGCCAAATTGTCAAAAATTTTATTCTTAACCCATCCTCCCACCTCTGCATCACCCACTGTTATCCAAATGAGGTGTACTTGAGAGAGAAAGAGACGAGGAAATGGAGAAAGTTCCTGCCTTTTCTTTTCTTTGTATGCTGATCTTTCTTCAGCCAGCTGGGACTGACCTGAAGTTTCTTCCATTTCTACTCCTTACTCCCTGTTTTCATTGGCTTTGCCTCCCGTCATCCATTCTTCAGTGAAACCTCTTTGGAGTTACTTCTCATCCCCTTCCCCCTTTCACGCTGCCCTTATTTCTTGAGTAATGCCAAGCACCTCTCTCCTTCCTCCACTCTTCTCCCTGTTAGTTTAGTCCTTCACACCTGCACCGTATCTTCTTTTTAATTTCATTTTGTCTGCACCATTGTTTTTGGCAGCCCTCCGTTTTAACCCCCTCCCCCCACCACCACCATCCATTTAAAGTGGTGCTTGTGATTCTATTTTTGGCAAATGCCGTCAGCCCATAATTAAAAAAAGATTGTAAATGTGTAAAACTAAAAACTGCACTTGGACAGAGAGGGTAGAGCAGCAGCCACTAAGTCGACTCAGCCGTAATGCAAGTGACTTTTAACTTTTACTGACCTTTTGTAAGCTTGCAGATATATGATTTTGTAAACTGCTCGTTCTGCAGCTTGACAGTATCTCTCTGTGCAGAGTCAAGTCTGAACGCAGCTAAATTTGAAAATTAAACATTAATTATAATTTATGTAGGACTGTGGAAGTAGGCCAAAATCTTATAAGACAGTTTTCATTAGTGAGTGCTTCTGATGTGCTGCCATCCATTTCCCGTTGTCATGTTTTTGAACAGCCCTGCTTTTTGCACCAGTTAGACTGACTCCATAAGGTCCAATTTAGCACTAAATCAGTCTGAACTTTGCTAATATCTTAGTTAGCCTTAGCTACATTAAAAGATAGTATTGATTATACCAGTGCGCACCAATGCCAACGATCACTTAAGAGTGTAGTAGCAAAACTAAGCAAACAAAAAGTAAGAAATTATGTATTTCAAGCATACAACTGAAACTATAGGGAGAGAAGGATTAAAGCCTATTCATTGGCTTGACTGACACAGAACCAATCGACTACTCTGCTACCTTAACCTAGGAGACAACAGGTGATTTTTTTTTTTTTTTAGTGGCCTTGCATTTGCCAATACAGTTTCATTTTAAGAAGCTAATATAAAACTAAATCATCAAAAGATGACAGCTCTTCATGTGGAGCGTGCACCTACATGCAACTGCAAGCTGTTCACACGTGTTTGGTCAACAGTGCTACAGAGCAGGATGACAAATAAGAAACCAGAAAGGTTCACGTAGCCTTTTCTGTATAGATATCTGTTAGGGTCTACCATAAATAGATATCTGCAGATTCATATCTTCCTGAGAACTGAAGGGAAAAAAACGCCTTTTTCAGTCTAACTTTTTTTTGAGATTTGTGTGTCCACTACAGAGGGCATAAAGGAATAAGCTGAGTTTAGGAAGTTATGCAGATATCTATTTATAGGGATCACTGCCTATACACTAGAAACATATTTCAGTTTCATGTAGTATTTAAAATAAATCTAGTATTTAGGCAAACATGACTGTGAGAGCCAAATATAGATATAGTCTTTTTCTGCTCTGCATTCCTTGGGAAATAGTGCTCAGCAGCACGCTTTCAGGCACTTTGCACTTTGAGTGTCCATCGCATGCAGTTTGTGTCCATGAAGGCATGAAACTGTCGCACATTAGGGAAGGGAAGAACCGATCCAATAGAAAGCAGTAGGTCTTGAACGAAGCATTTGATTTTCCTGCTCTGGAAAATCCAATAGTATCTAGATGGCAACAAAGGGGGAAAGCTTTTAGTTCAATATGTGGCTTGGCTTGTGACACAAAAGCAACACATTGTCCTCTCTGCTTCCCTGTCACCTCCCACGTGTCCATCTATTAAAAAAATGAGATTTTTCTTTTCATTAAGTGCAGTTTAGATTAGGTATCTTTCAGAATGAATTAACTCAATTTTACAAGTGCTCAAGCTATTTCAAGTGCCACAATGTGCTGTAACTCGGCCCAATTATACTCAGCTCTTGCCTTTTGTAGATTATTAGCCATATCAGCTTAGCACTTTGCAGCAGCTCCTCTAAATTCACTCCCTTAGTCAAACAGAAGCCAACTCAAACATGCAATAAAACATGAAGTGCATATAATCTGTCAGGATTGGACATGGAAGGAAACTGCCTTGGGGAAGATTGCCCCTCCCACCCCTTCCCCTTTACACACTCACCTCTTTTTTTTCTCCATCTCTTTCTCTTTTCTCTCGGCTGGCTCTGTCAACTTCGTGAGTCAACCCCTCATGTTAACACTGATTGAATTTATTATTAAATAGAGTGCGCGTACTGTTTCCTGCCTCTAATCTAAGTCGAAGCGCTGAATTAAACTCCCACCTGCTGACTTTATTATTATTATTATTATTAATATTTTATTTTTTTGCCAAAATTCTTATTTCTGGCTGAATGTGGTTGTACTGTAGAGTAAGCTGTGATCTAAACAGTGTTTTATAAGCTGAAATTCAGGGTGGGTACGGGTACTCTTGAATGGGACTGGGATTAATCTGCCATTTCATGCCACATGATTGGATTCGCACATTTTACCAGATGTTTTTGTATATGCTGTATGTAGACATTTATAGAAAACATACCTCCAGCTGAGAGTTCAGATGATGGCTCCATGTAAACCGCCCCCTGAGCCTTCACCTTGTAAACTCAGTGACTCATCTTTTCAGCTGCCACTGCTTTGATTTTGGAGAAGGGTGATGTCAGGCAAGAGTCCCACAAGCAAAATGTTTTGTTTGATCTGGAGCATTTCCTCTAGGCTGCCTTACAAGTTGCTTTGGGGAGCTTTAGTGACAGTACACGGTCTCTCAATCAGTGTAGTTACATGATGTATGACAACTTAAGCAAATCTGACAGTACACAATCCCTCATCCTCGTCCCGCTCCTCCTCCATCTCCTCCAATGACTGGCCAAGCGATGCAACAGACGCAGGGCTGAACAACACTCCCCAGCCCTGGGAATGTGGAGCCATTTCAACAATGATGTCTCAGCTTATTTAACTGTCTAGAGTAATGATGGAGTCCCTACCTCAGCCTTGATTCAGTGACAGAGCTTCATGTAAAAAAATAATTCAGTGGCAGTATTTTGGATAGGGGCTTGCAGGGATTGAGTATTGTACAATGATGTTCAAAATGTAGTCGTGATGAACACAAGTGCTTTTTATCTTGAAAAAAAAATCCTTAATGTGTGTAGCAAGCTTACATGCTGTACGTTTTTTCCAGTGTGGGAATATAATTTACAGTAGGATGCAACAGTCACTGGCTATTTATATATTTATTTATTTACATGGTTCTGGTGTTCATTCATGAAAGTGATGTCAAAGATTATAACCCTCTGAATAATTACAGTATTTAGTTTACAGTTTGTACAGAAAACGTGCCCTTCTTGTAAAATAAACATGTTTTTTTTTTCATAGGTGTTCAGTGACTTCTCTCTCCTTTTTTTCCTAATTTTTTGACTTTGAAGAGATGCACGGGTGTGAGTGGTCATGTACCTCTGACACTCAGTGGATATCGGAAGATCATGCCACTGCAGAGGATCAATGCAGATTGATTGTGACGCATATTTTTTTCCAGCTCCCTGAGCGTGGTGTCCTCGCTGCTCCTGCCTTCGCCCTGCCTTTACATAACCTGACAGCCACTTGACAGTTGACATGTCCTCTTCCTCCACTCTCACCCCTGCCTCATTTGTTAACTTCAATGTGGGTGGAAACCCTTGCAGGCGCAGATATACGGTAACATACTGCTGAGCCGACTACAACGAGATGAAAAATACACTTTTTTTTTTTATTGCATCTTCGCTGATAGTTAAAATACACTTGTAACAGCGTGCACTCAAATAGACTGCACCTTCAAAAATAAAACGCTTTAATGATTTTGTTTAGTTTTTAAAACTAATTAAAGTGTGGCCTCCTGTGAGGGCCTACCCTGTTTATCTTTGTGCCTGTGGAGAATAGGTTTGATAATCAATAGTTTAATTTCAGCTCGCTTGGCTGTAACTTGGTTTGTCAGCTTTTAGCCTTAGGAGCAAATATAAAGCAAAAGATTATACATTTGTAATTAACAGTTGTTATCATTCCTTCTTAAGGAGAAGAAGAAGTCTAAACTGCTGGGGACTTAAAAGCCATCAGTAACATGTGGAAAACTAAACCACAACATATTATTCCTTACTTATAGATAATGGATGGATTGATTTATAGTTAGGCACTTATCTCTGTGTTCAGTAAACAAATTAAGTGAGACGTATGCAAGATTTCTTAAAAAAAAAACTACGACAGCTACTGCATAATGTGTTACTAGAAACCTGTAAGCCCAACCGAGGATGATGCAGCACCTAGATCCAGGTGAGTAGAGTTAGGTAGCATGCTGGGTGACC